GGGGGCAGGCGCCAATTGATAATATACTTTATACTCCGTTCAAATCATAATAATCCATGTTAATCATTTATGAAATTTTATTCTAATTCTATTTTAAAGTGTTTTATTTTCCTAAGATCAGATCGTGGGACAATGGCGGGTTTGCTTTGGATATTGTGCGAAAAGGATGGTTACGAATTGTGACGCTGAACCATATCGAGCCCAGTATTGTGATGGGACTACTTCATCTCATTTCAGCGTCGTTCAACATCATCCACTCCCTGACTTTTGTGAGCATCTTTACATTATACCTGACAGATAGCCTATCGCCACTCCGTACACTGTAATGGATTGACAGCCTTGCCCAACCCAAGCACGAAATCCCACATAGTGGCTTCCTTACCGCCGGTGCTAAGCAATCGTCACATCCCACCTTCGACCAATGATCGCCCGTAAACACTCAACAGCCGTGATACCTTTGAAGGACGAAATCCATAGAGACATGTTGCTACTTGCAACAGACTTCACACATAGACGACTGTATTGAAGAGCGAGTAGTCGGTCGGAGTAGGTTTGTGGCCTGTACCTGCGACACATTTATCACAATGTCCGGTTTAAGATATGATTGCCGGCCTGAACGGACTCCCGGCTACCACGATCTGGGGTAAGGGCCAAGAGTATCTATTGGGGGCTGCATCTGCAGGCAAAGTGCTCTGTGCAACTTTTCTCTCAAGTAGCTTAAAGGGTGATCACCCAAAACATCTGGTGCACTAGAATGTACATTCATTATTGTTGTCGTCGTTCATCCCCCCTCTGGGCTACCGCCTCCGCTCGAACCTTCGTCTGTCGTTATATTTGAAAGAGCTCGTTCCTCACCCGATACTTGCACTATCCGTCATTGAAGTAATACATCCACAGTGATATTCGCTGCTCTTCTTCACGATGAGACTGTTGAACCTGGTTACATGTGCTGGCACGGGGCTCCTGATCAGAAATGCTGCCGCATTGCCAATCTTTGGGTTGGGTGACAAATTCTCTAATTATGTCAAGGGCGCCATAGAAAAGGGTAAAAAAGAGCTTGGGGAGATTCCTGGTATAGATGGCACGGCCGTATTGGAGGAAATTCCCGGGCTGGATCTGGGAAAGAAGGGAGGTTTGTGACGTCCCTTTATCAGTCCAGCTTCTTGCATGCTAACACATGAACAGTGCCGCTCAAGGACGCATCACTCGTCAACACGTTCAAATTGATGAGCCAATACTCCGCGGCTGCTTATTGCTTCAAAAATCACGACAATACTATTGGGGACAAGGTAACTTGTCCTGCCGGCAACTGTCCTCTCGTAGAAGCAGCGGATACAAAGTCTTTAGCGGAATTTCAAGAGTGAGTGATCACTTAATATATTCTTTTCTCTTTCCTGACGGTTCAGTTTTCCTGGCACTGATGTCACCGGCTTTGTTGCGGTCGACAAGTCGAACAAGATGGTTGTCGTCTCCTTTCGAGGCTCGTTGTCGCCCGCGAACTTCGCAACAGATCTAAACTTTGCACCAACAGCCACCGATCTTTGCGCCGGCTGCACAGCTCATAGCGGATTCTGGCAATCGTGGGTGGATGCACGGCCCGGTGTCATGGCTGCCGTACGCAATGTCTCCGCGACCTATCCCAACTTCAAGCTTGTGACCACGGGTCACTCGCTCGGCGGTGCCATCGCCACTCTTGCGGCAGCACAGCTTCGAAACGAAGGAAAGTCGGTCGCAATGTACTCCTTTGGTGCTCCACGGGTTGCACCAGAGAGACTCAGCCAGTTCATTTCGAATCAACCCGGCGGGAACTTTCGCATTACCTTTGGTCAAGATCTCGTCCCACGCCTGCCTCCCTCTTTATTCAAATACGTGCATATATCCCCGGAGTATTTCATTGAAAAGAATCGAAGAACTAGCAAGGGAGATGTGCAACCCTCAGACGTGTCTATGCTTGAGGGAAGCACCAATTTTTGGGGGAACCGTAAGTTTGTTGTACCTATCCTCTTGCCACATGTCGAGTATTTTGGAGACATTTGCGGCTGTGTGACCGATCAGATTCTCGACCTTAAAATCGATGTTGAGTTCGCGTAAACAAGGAATATGATATTATTAGGGGTGGGTCGAACTTGATCGTACGTAACAGTGTCGAGAAATGGGCAGCAGCATAAAAATGGTAATGGTGGGATGCATGTCTATCAAGAGTGCAGAGAACATTCGTTACCAAGTTCTACTCTTAATTCTACCCCTAATCTCATAATCCATCGTCGTTCGATAAGAAACAACATATATTCGCTTGAGTGGTGGCTTGAGCAAAGTATACGCCTGGGACGCATGACCTGCCTGACCCCAGCCACGTGCCACAACAGTGAGACAAACTTGGCACTCCACACACGAGTATCGCTCGCGATTGTGATGATATAAATATGAGGCCTCCTCACTTCATTCTGCAAATCGCTGCTGATCATAGCTGGGTGGTGGAATCAAATGCGTGCACCTAGGTATGCTCCTATTCATCCACCCGCCAAACATGATGTACGAAGAAAGCTTGACTGTTGCGAATATAGCATAGTATTATCCGAAGCCTCGTGAGACTGTCATTTGTATTACTAACGTGACCTAGGGCTGTTGATACAACACGGTTCCTCGTGGTACAGTTCTAGGATGATGGTCATGAACACGTCCTTCTCAAAAGCGAACATAATGACTGCCTAGACTGTTCAGTATCAACCATCACATCAGTCTGGCGGAACTATAACAACTTTCATAAACGCGTTTGTATGAAACGTTAAATTATTCGAGCTCATCTTGGTTTTGTTTGAACAGACTAGACTAAAAAGTCGCACATCTCCTGATTATACGGGATTTGATTGGAACGAAGTTGATACCATGGAAACAGTGAGTGGAACCTTCAACACGCTATAAGCTTTTCAATTTGCAGGAAGCATAACTCAAGTTCATTTAGATGGATAACGAGCATCAGCGTGGTGCAACCGTGCACTCTCTCCTGTCCACTCTCTTCGACACATTCTCCTCTATCGACGATCTATATAAACGCCTATTGATGAAAATCAATAGCTTCGACAACGCGCATAAAGAGGGGCCCAAAAACCATAAACGGAGCAAATCACGAAGCCGCAGCCGAAAAGGCTTACGAAAATCGAGTTCGAGTTCGGAGACTGAATCCGGCGACCCACATCCCCATGCCGACTGGCGCTTTCGATTCCGTCGAAACAAAAGTCACCGACGGTGGCAAGCAGATACATATGACGACGGCAAAAGGGGAGACCTGGCTCATATGTACAGTATAGCGATACGAGCGGAGTATGATCAATGCTTCCGTCGATTCGGTGACAAATTCGCACACGGGGACTGTACGTAGTACCACAGCGAACCAGTCGCAGATTAACGCAGACACTGGAGCAATCTAACGCAAGAGACAGTGATGGCGCAGAGCGCACTACAGATCCAAATCATAACGATGCAATCGAGCATTATAGAGACCTTTCAAGAATCATCCTTGTTATCAAATTACACACGATACCCTCTGACATA